GCTTTCCATGGACTGCATATCATGAACGGTCACAATTAACAATTACAAAAAAATACTTTGTAAATAAATGGCGGTTTCCTCGTTAATCCCGTCTGTACGTAAGCGCAGATACTGGGTCAGCGTTCTCGACAGAACATCGGCACTAAAATTTTAAACAAGCAGCTGCCTGAGGTCCCGCACTTGCTGGGGACCTCGGCAACCTTCCTGTTAACCATGCAGTGCCGTGGGGTTTCCTCTCACCTGTTCCGTTGGCAACTGTAACATCCTATCACTTCCATCACACAGAGTAAATCTCCCTGGCTGGTACACAGCTGACAATAAAAAAGTGGGTTGCAACCCCTTCTTCAGTGAGTCTCAGCATCCTTAGTCCATAGAGCTGGCCCTCCTGCCCATTCATCAGGGAGACAGAGAGGGGACTTTTTGTGGCAGTGTGCATGAGACTATGAGGGGAATTTATCAAAACTGGAGCAGACAAAATCTGGAGCAGTTTTACATGACAACCAATCAGCTTCTATCTTTCATTTTCAAATCTTAACTGAACAAACTGAAGAGAGAATTGGTTGCTATGGGCAACTGCTCCTACATTTTGTGTGCTCCAGTTTTGATAAATTCCCCTCTATGTATTCTGAAACAGTCCACTCTCTGGGCACCCTGCTGAAGTGATAGGGCCCAGGGAAAGAGGGCACTATTTCACCACTTTCTACCTGCGGAGTAGTATCGAGAGCTGCGGCTCCCGATCGTTAAGTTAAAGCTCCAGCCTACACTGTTCTCCCCACTGTGGCAGATATTAATCCACCCCAGCGTGGCTGATGAATTTCAAATAGAGAGTACAGCCTTCCCAGAGACCATGGAGGCTGAGAGAAGTAGGCAGGCTGGCAGGTGTGTGGTGAACAGATAAAAACAGATCATAATGTCTATGCTGCTAGCTCTTCCCCTGTCAGTGCAGAAGCTGGGAAAGGGGGGGGGGGAGCATTAGCAGGGGCTCTGCTGCTCATTTTCTATAAGTATAGCCGCCCAGATCACTTGTAGCAGCCTACTTGTGTGGCGTACCATCACC